CTCGAATAATTGTCCCACACTTTTTTAGACAAGTAAAATTCACGACATAAACTCGTATTAATTAGGTCGTCAGAAATTGTGCCTATATATGAACACATCGTGGGTATTCGGTTTTCTCAATTATTTGTCGATGTTGGTTTTGGAATAAAATTTCATAAGGACAATCACAACCTCTAGTTTAATTTAATTATATTTAAGTTGCTATTGTGGGTTAATTAATTAAACGGGGCGGATTTGAATTCAAATTTCGGCCGCCTCCAATGTTAACCAAATGGGCACGTGATTTTGGCAGGCTTAAATCCTGCCCCGTTTAATTATTAAACCCACAATAATACTATTGCCCATTATGTTTATTTAATTACGAGCTAAATAACCTACAGATACCAACCATGGCTTGTTGGTTGGATGGTGTGTGTCAAGGATTGTGCACTTCACTCTGGTGGGATTCGAACTCGTAACTGATTGAATGTTGATTTTACAGAAGGCGACTACCATGTGACAGCTCCATGTTTAATTGCATGTGATAACTCCAAGGAGAAGCCTGAATAAATATTCCTCCACGGCCTTAAGTGGCGTTGAGATGACACTAAAAGTGGACTATTTCTCGCATTTCATTATAAACGGACTGAATTTCCAGTGACGGTTAGTAATATTGAAATAAAATTGTAATTCTTGACACTCACTAAAACAAGCCAATTTTTTTCATTTTCGATCACATGTAATGATTCTAATTTTACAAGGAAATATATATCAGTACTTAATTTAATTTCCGAGTAAACATACTTCACAGAAATAAATTTATTCTTATTCTTGGTAACTAAAGTTTTCGAACTAAGGAATAGGTTAAAATTATAAAGCTACGTCATGAGGATTGACGATTAAAGCTAAAAGGATGTAACCGTAATAATATTCCTATAATATTTCCGCAATAACTTCATGAATTTGAAGTTACTTGGAGTTACGCAAATTTATAATTTATAAAATTATATGTACATACGTACATATATTATTTATTTATATTTAGATATATTATAATTTTTTTTTAATTTTTTAGAAACCATCGACAAGATTACAATTCACCTTCAGACAAAACTTCAAAAATTGCTGAGTCAAGAAATAAGGCAATAAAATTGATCAATATTTGGGGAAATTCTTATGTTTAAAGTAATTTGAGAAGAAATGTGCGTTTCATTCTTTATATGTAGCGCTACATTTAAGGAAAGGATTTCAATCATCGAATCATAATAATTTGTTTAACAAATTTTGTTACTACTTAATTAAAATTTTGAGAATCCGGCTTATAGCTAATAAAATATTTCCACTGAGGATTCAATTGTCGAAATTCTGTTTTCTTTGAAAATTAAAATACTGCTAATGTGCATGATATAAAGCAATATTCAATGATCAAGCGCCAAAAAAGATGTTACTCGTAAAATGCTTTCCATGCTAAATTTAGGGTGTACTATTATAAATTTTAAACTAGGGTTTCATATTTATCAATTTGTAGATTCTATGTATGCCGGTTCTGCATAGCATCACATTTTCAAGCATAATTTTTCGAAAAAATAGTCCCAAGTCAATCATATATACATATGTTTTTGCCATGTAATTTCTTCACCATGAAACCCTACACTCTCCGAAGTGTGGTAATGATTTCCTAATGACCCTTATTACCGTTCTGTTGGTAAATATGAATTTTACCAAAAGCGGTAATTATTTTGTTACCGAAATTCATTATTGTTTATTTTTTTAATTCAATATCAAATGGTAAGATTGTTTAAACTAATAACGGTAATCCTAAAATACCATGTGATGTAAATTAGTTACCGTAAAAGTGAAGATGAGCAGTACCGCACCGTAGTAATGAGCGTGAACACAAACTTGGTGTTGTCACTCTACCACTTTCGTAAGTTTTCCTCACTGCTACAGTGATAAATAAAGACAGGCACTATTTGAGTCCAACCAGCCCGTGGAAGTTAACGAATATTTCACTTCGTTTGGGAAATAATTGTTTTTTGATGAACTTAGAAAAGGTAAGCTAATAATTACATTAATTAACTAATTACATAAATTTCCTATCATTACTTTAATTTAGGAGCTTATTAATTTAATCCAGTTTGGTCATTTTTATATATAGGGAAAATAATGATGGATCATTTCTTCCAGATTTTTATTGACGGCGATCAAGATGGGAAGAATTTAGAGGTTCTCGTTTAAGTAAGCAGTTTAGATATTTCAGGTGAGCATTTATATTTACATACAGAAATATATGTATTTCATTTGGATGTTCAATATTTATGTTAATTAATTATTTTTCAGTGTAAGGCTCATTTTGCTCATCCGCCCGCAGAATCAGGTGTCAAACAGGTAAATTAATTAGTAAGTAATCATGAATATATGGTTAGTAAAAAATATATTTCTATAGTTAGTAATTAACTGGTTGTAAGTATAAGTGTATTATAATAATGATTGTTAGTAAATAATAATTAAGTAATTAGTTAAAATTATTTTATGCTGTGAATTTTATGTATAATACATACGTTATTGATATTTAATAGGAATCTTCAAGGTTTATTTGTACATAGATATTTGAAGAATTAGTTGTAAACATTGTACATATAGTAAATTCTAAATAATAATTGAATTACTGTAATGGTAAAAAATCAATAAAACACGATAATGAAAACAATATTGCACTGTGTTGATTATTTACCGAACCAGTAGTAACGATATTACTGAGCTGGGTTATTTCATTACTGCACATAATGTTGATTAATACTGCGTAATGTTGATGTCAATATGACAAAGTAACAAATTAACCCCGTGTTGGTGATGATGTCGTTGAACACCGCGCGGTAACTAAACCATTACCAAGCCAGTAGAGTCATATATAGACTACATGGGGTAATGATTCCGGTAACCAAATTTCGGAGAGTGTACTTTACGGGCAACGATCTGTAACTCCATTTTTCTATTTTTCCCCCATTATATTTCATGCACATGGAAGTACGTATATGTGAAACATATAGTATGGAATCACTCACGCCAACGTTAAATATTAAGGGCGCGTGTGGGGGCGCCTTATGACATAGGAAGATGCAGTAAAAAGCATTAGGAGCCCTTCCAATTATAGGGCACGCACACGGTTTGTTGAAATTTTGTTTATTTATTGACCTATTGACCTTTTTGTGTCATGTGGTCCTGGGGTCACTAAATACGTTTTCAAATGGTTTGGGTGCATGATATGGAAAACGGTTAGCACCAAAAGTCGATATAGTATTTTGAATTAATTTTCACTTTTGTAGGGGCTTTGAGAAGTAGAAGGACCTCACGACATGATAGTGCGCTGACCAAAATGAACTTTAGCAGAAGTTTAGGAATTTTTTGGGTGGCTAAATCGTAGTAAACCTTCCTTTTACAATTTGTATTTTGTACGGAAAATAGTGCCTCGTCAAGTGACACAGCAAATTCACTTCTATGAATACAAATTTGTACAGGTGAGTACGATTTTTTTTATGTTTCTCACTCAACTGATGTACCTTTGCTTTACTCCGTAGCTTCTTTTTCAAAATTTTTACTGATTTCTCTGAGAACGGACCTAGTTAGCACTTTTGAAGGGGTATGTTCTTTGGTGGGGGTAGAAGTCCAACGGCGGTAGCTTTCCATCTAAATAATTCATTTTGTATTTCATATTATTTAGTATACCTTTAATTAGAGTAAACCCCTGACCTTTGACATGTTTTATCCTGCTGTATGAATAATTTTAGTTTGGAAAGTGTTTTTATGATGGTTTTCAACTCTGGGGTCACGTGTGGTGCCATTTTTAACACCAGTGACTTGAGATTTTAAATTTACAATTTTGAGTTAAGTTTATTTTGAGTTAAGTTTATCTCGTGTGTCTAAAAATTTCAATTCAAAAGTTGAGAGCTCGCCAAAGATATGAGCGAACAAGATGATTCAATTTTACTCGCGCACCCCTGTAAATGTGATTACAAAATGCCGATTTGGGATTTCCCATATGTTGGTTTGGAAATAAATATCAAAGGTTTTGAGCTCTTTCGTTTTGAAGTATTAATATTTTGCAGTTTCGGATCTGTAAGAAAGTAAGCACAACAATCTGGATTCTGGTTTCCCATGTGTAGATACTACAGTCAAATGTATACACATTTTCGTCTTCTACATTTATAACGGGAACATCAGCGACATTTTAAATTATATAAACTAAACCTTTAGTGAAATTGAGCTGAGAATTTTCATACGAGAAAAAAATTAAGGAAACAATTAATTATTACTTGATTTATTCAGTCAATTAAATTAAATAGTAATTTGAATTAGTAAGGACTTGGCTAATTAAATTAAATTGGTAATGAGTAATAAGATTGACCTATTAATTTATTTGCTAATTAACTATATCGACTAATTAATTAGTAAGCCCTGCAAAATGAGGGTACCTACCCGTTTGGAAGGACTTATGCCGCGATGTACTCTAATCAAGCTTTAGTTTAATGGAATTCAGCTGTCTGATGTGAGTTCACATCGCATTTAAGGGACATGTCTTATCGTCTTAAAATCATCTTGTCATAAGATGCACTCAAAAAAAAATGGTAAAAAATGATTACTGCTTGGAATGACTATGTGTCTTTACTGCGTTGGTAAGAATGTGTCTTAAAAACAGTAATAATATTTGCAGCGAAATTCAAATTTCTTACTTTGTTGTATTAATTTCCTTACCGTATTCTAATAAATTTGAATTTCGCTGCAAATATTATTACTGTTTTTGAGACACATTCTTACCACCGCAGCAAAGACATAGAGTCATTCCAAGCAGTAATCATTTTTTACCATCTTTTTGAGTTTGGGATGATACCATCTCATCTCATCTCACTGGCAACCTTATTATATGCGAGTGTTAAATAATATAATTTATTACATATCGTTGTTACGTGCACAATACAAACATATATTTATTACACACGTATCAATGAGATTTTATGGCAAAATAATCGAAAAATAGTTGAAAATACATCATGCCACAAGAACTTGGACATTCTAACATTTCTCAAGTGTATGTCTGCGACAACAGTGTCTTACCAATTCACTAAATTTGAAAAATTTGTTTCCGCAAAAATAACATTTGTTCGATTTCAAGCCTCCATGCTTCCGTCTATTGTGCATAGTAATCTGGGACTTTAACCAACTTTTGTACTCACATTTGTTGCAGGCATGATAATCCTTCTCATTTTTTGAATGTTTCGCAATCTTGTGTTGTCTCAAACCACTCTTGCTCGAAAATATTTTGTCGCATAAACTACACGGGTATTTTTCCCGTTTATGATAAGTCTGTATGTGATCCCGTCTTCCAGCGTAGCTTAGAAACGAGTCTAGGCAAAAAGTACATGCGAAAACAGGTCGGACAGATTTCTCCTGGTGTATCTGCTGAAAGATAAGTACTTAGTTGCAAAAAATTGTTAACAAACAAACAACATGTACATGTAGCTACAAAGTAATTGTTTTATGTATAGAGGAAGAAAATTTGCCTACTCTAACTTTGTAAATTTACATGGTCGAGCAGATTTTTTATGTGCATTTCAATTTCTAAAACTATACAAATCAGTTTATACATACCTTATGGTTCTTTAAAGAAACCGCTTCTACGAATGATTTCTGGCAAATTTCGCATTTGTGGCTTTTCTCTGTTGTATGAATAGCTATATGTTTAGCTACATATGCCTTGTCTTTAAATTCCTTTTCACAAAGTGGGCAAGGGAATCGGACAAGATTTTGAACATGCTCCAGTTGAAAATGATGGGTCGCAGTGGATTTCTCCAGATATGTTTTACCACAGCCTGGGAATTTGCATGGGTATCGTGGTCGTGGCGTTGAGATGTGTTTAGCGTTAAAGTGTCTTTGTAAATCTTGCCGCGTGCCGTACTCTTTGCAACAAACACTGCAAACCAGTTTTGGTTGGCATGAATGCGATCTTGTCACATGCGACTCAAGCACGGCAGGATTTTTGAACAGTTTTCTACAGATCTGGAAAGGTTTGTAGAATACAATTTATTTCTGAATGGCATTCATACACATAATTTTCTCTCATACCTGACACTTGACGTTAGTATACGCGCCATGAGTTACAATATGCCGTTTCAGATTCTTCTTTGTTGATAGAGTTTTTGAACAAGTGGGGCATTCGAAGGTTTTTTTGGAATCCATTGACGACAGAGAATATCATCCAAGGAATCTATGTGAGATTGAGAAAATTAAAATTAAAATTGTAACTAAAATTATATCATTAATGTTCAATATTTTCCGAGTGTATAATATGTTACCTTTGTTTTGATCAGATTGCCTTTCTGTTCATTTATATAAGTAGTTTGAAGTTCTTTTTATTAATTTGAGTTCATAAGTAAATTTTTGTACTTTAGTGCCGTCAAAGATTTGTGTTGTTCACTTTTACGGGATCCAGAAAAAAATTTCTACGTAGAATTAAAGCATACTTAGCTCGGTGTCAAGGTGAAAGTAATACTGATTTATTATGTGCAAGTAAAACTAGGACCAGTTTGGAGAAGGAATATTATTTTGTGGGTGAAGTCCTGCTATAATTAGTCCCCTTGAAAGGGATAAACCATTTTCAGGTCAATACATGAACCCAAACTGTGCTTATTTTACTTTGGACCCATTCCAAGTAAAGGATACATTTAGTTCTTCTAAAACCCATTTTCATCGAAGTACCGTGGCAGTATTGTTTAAGCCATCTACAGTAATATAATATAAGTTCATACTGGTATAGTATTGAGTAAGCCAAGGGTACTTAAAATTGCGTGCATATAACACTGTGTGGTATGATTGCATACCGCACATTCTTTTGTTAACGTTAAGTTTACTATTATCTTTAATCTTGTAAATGTGTAATTTTTTGTACGAACATATAACTGGTTATCGGTGTGATTTGTGAAATAAGTTTTCAGTAGGATTTTTATTTATTAATTGCTTAAAGTTCGAGGGAAACTTATTCTAATGTTCGAGTTCTAATTGTTTATTTCTAATTGCTTATTCTAAAGAAATATTTCTATTCAATAATATGTCACGAAACGGTATCTCCTTTTAAACAACTTTTCTACAAATTTTAGGTTTGAGATAATTGCTCAATATACATATTTTTATTACCACAGTTTTGAGTTTGTAGTGGGCCAATTATTAATCTTGGGAATTACAATAATTCATAACATGCAACCGCCAAACCTTACAGACTTGGCAATTTAAGTTATTTAAAATATTTATTACCTTCCGAGATATTTTATTTCAACATAATTTTAATTTAAAAGATGAAATAAAATTTTTAAGGAAGGAGGTTCCATATAATATCTCAAAAGCTAAAGTTAATCCACTTGAAACAACTGCAGAAAAATATAACGTCATGTACGAAATCAAATGCGACATTTCGATTGACTTAAAACCTTTCTCATCTCGGTCTGCCTTAGTCAAGCATCGCATCTCTAATTGGGGTGAGTAGAATTCGTTAATTCTCCACAAGATGCCGCGTTCGATCATTTGCGTTGTCCTGTAATTCAAGTGTATTTATTTCCATTAAAAAAACGAAACTCTGGTAATTAGGTGATTGGTTTTATCAAAAACTCCATAAAATATCGACAAGTAAATAATTATGTAGTTTCCATAAATAACTACGATTTTAACAATTCGTTATAAATTTTGTTTGGTGAAGGGTTCATTCATTAAGAATTGTATTTTTTCCCGTGGCATCATGACATAGTTCGGAAAAACTATGTACTAGCTCCCCATTATTTTTGCACATTCGTAAAAACCTGGTTTAATTTTTAAATTACTTACTTAATATTGTAAGATTTCGCTCGAGGATTTCCTTTTTTTGTGACCATTGCTACCCGAATTCTTCCACTTTCAATTGTCACAAGAGATAAACCTTGACAAGATTTCCTGTAGAAGTCAGAATTTTGTGTTCCCACAACCTCCATATTGATAAACGAAGGCAGAGTTACGACAGCAATTTTTTGGCCACTTAAGATCCTCAAAACCAAGTCTGGATTGAAGTTTGTTATTTCATTAAATTCTTTCAGACCCGTCATCCTTGAGTCTTTGTACATTTTGTAGCCTTGCTGTTGCAATTCGAAAATATTTGAAATTCCACGAACACCCCCGTTTAACAAATTGGTTAACAAATTTGCAGAAAATAGAATATGAATTAACAAAGCGGCTAGAGAAATTGTGGTAACCGCAATTCTCCGAGAGGCCAGGTCACCCTCGCTGTTTTTGGTACCGCCCTGATTTAAAAACAATTGAAGTAAAAATAAACTTAGGGATTGCTCTCTGAGATAAGCTGAAATATTTTTGCGTTCAAGGCAACATAACGTTGCCGCTGCTAAAATTACAATCAAGCCAACAATTATCAGACTAAGGGGATTGAATAAGGTTAATGAAAAGGTTAAGCTTTCGACATTCTTGAACACTGCGACCGGTCTGTAAACAGAACAGATTTGTTTTAAATATTTAAACTTATAGTAAAGTTAACTTTTTACTTGGGAGAACTGAATGTATGCAAAAAGTTGAGAGCATCTGGTCCTGTTATTCTTTTCAGTTGCATGACTATAGATCCAATATCTAGTTCGGAAATGCCTTCATTTAGAGAAATCGCTGATCCACCCAACTTATGCTGTTCAGTTTCTGTATCTTGGAACACAGTTATAGGTGATGTTAACATAGCAACGACACGAAAGTTTAAAGCGTCTCGTAAATAATGTAGGATTTCTACGTTTGTTCCGCCAACAAAGGTGATATTATAAGGTGCCGTTGGGTCAAGGATGTAATTGGCGTAGGCCTCCGTTCCAGGGGAAATTGCTTTGGCAGCGATAACTTCCGTTTGGTTAAAATCCATTTTTCTTTAGGCTAAAGAAATGTATTTCTTAGTGAGGAATTGGTATTATATTTTCTAAGATGTGTATGATTTATACCCTGCACAAAGGCAATTTGCAATTTCATGTGGGTGGCAGGTCTCTCAAATTTTTAATGAATGTACAATACATTGCGTATTAATATTGATTGCTTGCTATTTCAAATATGAGTGGAATAGTGTCAATTAAATTGAATTTCTTGAGAGATTTTTCATACGTCAGTTTCATATGTGAGGATGAAGGTAAGTGGACTACGAGTAAATAATTTAAACGCGAAACTCACGAAAACTTAAATGTCACTTCGATTTTAAATTATTCAAAATGCCATGCTTATTATAAAGGGTGTTAAAAAAGTCCGATCCCATGCATTTTTTGGAGCGTGGTTGTTACAAATTCAGCTGGAACTTTTGAACCAGTGAAGTTATTTATTTCAAATTTTTACCATGGGAGGAACAACTAAACGTGTAAGTCATGAGCATCTTAGAGTTGAGATACAAACATTGCATCAGCAGGGGCTTAAACCTACAGAAATTGTGCAAAAATTGGGCTGCAGCCGCAGAACTGTTTGGAAATGGAAGAATAAAAATTTTGTCCACGACAAAAAGCGACCAGGGCGACCCAGAAAGGTGTCACCTACCACAAAAAGAATGATTAAAAACAGACTTTGCAAGAAAACCGGTAGTTCATTACGTAATTGAGCAAGGGAGTTAAATGACTCAAAACGCTATAAAGAGAAGAAGAAGCAAATTAACTGTGTGACCGTGCAAAAATTTGTGAAAACTACGAAGTGGGGTCACACAGCTTACAAACTAACCAAAAAAACCTCTCATGTCACAAAAATATATCGATGACCGTCTGAAATTTGAAGAACTCCTTCAGAAAAGTGCCCATTTGAGTGAAAAAAGACTTGGTGAAGAATTGCGCAGTCACATCCTTTGGACTGACGAATCTATTATTGAACTATATCCAAAATTGAACCAACAAAATGTTCGTTACAGGACAGAAAACAAATCGGATGTACCATCAAGAGCGATCCCAAAATTCGGGCTTAAAGTTATGGTAGCGGGTGGATTTTGTGCACGTTGCGTGACCCCTCTACATATCATACCAAAAGGCCAATCAGTCAATGCAAAGCATTATATGGAAAAAATATTACCTATCTATTTCGATAGCATGGGGAACAAGGAAATATTTCCGAATGAAAGAAAAATAGTTTTCATGCAGGATGGTGCTATAGCCCATACAGCAAAAGCGAGTTTGAGTCTCATCAAGACGCAAGTTTCAACGGTCTGGAGCAAGGGGGTGTGGGCCGCTAACGGCCCAGATTTGAATCCCCTGAAGAACCAGTGGTCCATACTTAAGGAAAATGTATACAAAGAGCCACAACCCCGGACGAGGGAAGAGCTAGTAAAAAAAAGTTCAAGATGTATGGAATTCGATTTCCAGAGGCACATTGGAAAAATTAGCACAGAGCCTTAAACAAAGAGTTGAGGGCATGGTTAAAGTAAATGGTAACAAGACCAAATACTAAGGTAAATATGTCGAACATTTTTTGTAAGTATCACGGGTAGTTTTTTTTTATACTAGCCTTCACTTTTTTACAGGAAAAATGGGATCGGACTTTATTAACACCCTGTACATATATATGTACATATGTAACTGATTTTCTATCAGGTAAATATTCTACTGCTTATATCCTGAAGTAATTTTTATTTTTATTTTGAAGAAATCATTATGTAAAATTATAATTCCGTTCTACTCAATTTTGAGCTATTAGGTTAGGAAGGATAATAAAGTAAGATTTTTACAGCTTATTGTCCTATGGTTATGTTTACTTCTAACAGTGCACTGCAAAATATACTACAACTTTGTAACCACTGTATGTGCAAATTTATATTTAATAAATATTGAATTTTGGTACTTTTCAGAAATAAAAATTTACACTAATTACATGTATGCATGTTATGAAGTCTTCCCAAATCCCGGTAAACAATTGAAATCTTCCCTGAAAAATTGGCGCATTCAAAGTAATTGCTAGCTACAAGTTGTAAATTTGTTACCACGTGGAGATAAATATGAATTACTTCACATTTGCAGTTTGCAGATGTTGCCACGATAAATTACTTTTATTATTTATACCACTAAATTTCAAAATTGTACTGCAGCATGATCACAGATTTTGTGAAAATGCAGAATCATGGATATCTTGGGTTTGAATTATTCAATGTGCATCAAACTTGGTACACGCATTCTCAAAGGTCACTACGACAAATATATAAAGTTGCAGGTTTCTATTTTCAATACCGAGCCCAGTAGGGTAAAGAAAAACGCGTTCCGAAGCAAAAGTGATTCTTACACCGAAGTTCTTTCGGATTTGCGGGAAACTAATATATTCTGCATTGTTTGCATGTATTGAGATTCTTGAATTGTTCACCCATGTAAATATCATACATTGGATTCAAATTAGTAAGTGCTATGATAACTGAAGACCAAACTGACATTGGGTATGTATTCCAAAGTCCTCGTGTTCTGGTGTCATAAGATATTCTATCATTTTCACGCAATCAATAAGAACGCTTCT